CGTGAACAGTGTCTGTCTCCCCCCTGCCTACTTTGTCAGCCTCATCTGTGTGTCCCCCCTATGCATTGTTGGTTTCTACTGAGACCCACAGTTTGCTATTTTCTCGACATCCAATTTACTTTCGTCACTCAGCATCCTTGCTTGAGCTATCCTTTCTGCCTGGTATGCCCATCCTAAAATTGGTACCTGGAGATGCTGCCCTGAGACAGCAAGAGAATAAGTAATGCGTTTCCCCTGTCCGTTTCCCATGACTAGAATGAAGAAAGGGACAGCCAGTTCACAAGCATGCCAGACACTGTTCTAAGTGCTAGGGAAAAGCCGTAAGCCAGAGAGTCACCACTCTCCTGGAGCTTACACTCTGGTGAGAGGAGACAAACGTTAAACCTGTAAACAAATAAAAATCTCAGATCTGGAAGTGCTGAGACCAGGGTAAACAGGCCGTGTGGTCGAGGGTGACTTGGGGTGATGCTTTAGCTAGAGCGGCCAGAGACTGTCTCTGAGGCGATGTTTTCACTAAGCCTGGAATGACGAGAAGGAGACAGAATGTGAAAGCCTGGAAAATCATGTTTCAAGCTGAGGGGCAATAATTCAAAGCCCCCGCGATGGGAACAAGTTTGGTTGAGGGAAAGAAGGAAGGCCTGTGTGGCTGGAACAGGGACTGTGGTGACGGGGCGAGAAGTGAGGATAGCCTTTCAGTCACAAAGGTAAACATTCTGTGACCTGAAACAGGAAGGGGTATGATGTGATTTAGGATATTGAAAGCTCAGATTAGCTGCTTTATGGAGAAGGGGGCAAGAATGGAGAAGGCAGGGCGTCCAGTTAAAATAGTCTTCTAATAGTTCAGGTAAGATGTTGATGACTTGGACTAGGATTGTGGAAGTGTTTCGAAGTTGAGAGAAATGGTCAGATTGGGGATATATACAGAGGGTGCCAAAACAAATGTACACACATTTAAAGAAAGGAAAAAACTATTAAAATTGTAATACGATGAATGACGCTAGCATTCATTTGATTACCGCCATCTTTTGAACGAACATCAAACTACACATTGCTACTGTAATTCAATTCAACTTCGAAAAGCAACACATAGATAACATCTCTTAAAATGTGTATGTTTTTTGGCATCCCTGGTAGTTTTAGTTTGTTCTGACCTCAAAAATCCATGAGGTATTACTTATTATTACTCATGGATTGGATATGAGTGAATGGGAAGGAGATTCTCGATTTGCCAAACGAGAAGGATAGCTGTGCCATTTATGGAGATGGAAAAACTTGGACGTGGTAATGGGGTATAGGTGTTTCGGATAGACCAGTAATTCTGTTCGCGGCATATTAAGTTTGAGATACCTACTAGATAGTTAAGACCTGGAGAAGAAAATGTTTCAATCAGGACGTGGTCAGCTGTGGCAAATGCTGCCGAGATTTCACACAAGATGAAGACAGAGAATTGCCCACTGACTTATCATCCCCATTTCATAGATAAGGTTATTTGCCTTAAGTCATAGAACTCTCCAGTGGCATTCTGACTGCCCTTAATGCTTGGTTGGTTTTCGTATGCAAAGAGCATGTCACATGCCACCAACGGTATGTGTGCTTTAGTGATGCTTCTAGTGGCAGTGATGTGTCCAGTAGGCTCCTTGCCCTCTGGCTGAGTCCTCCGTGCAGCTTGCAATATGTATTGTAATGTTGCAGGACAGTTTTCTTGGTCTGTAAGGTTCTGCCATGGTTGATATAGCACCACAGTTTTGAAAAGCGTGTTTTATAACATGCTGTAAAATTATGCTGAACTTGCCTTTACTATTATAGTTATGGTATTTTAGAGTTATTCACCATTGTGCTGGAAATGAGACTGCTCAAGGAGATGTCAGCTTGAAATAGTGCTTTATTGCAATAAAGGCCACTGTGCCGACAGTCTAGAAAAGAGGCTGTCAGTAACCATTTTAGTTCTCTTCTGGTTAAAGTGGATCTCAGAAACTGATAGAAAAATGGCAGAAAGAATTGGTAGGAAGTCTGTGAGGATCTGACAGTAATAATATATAATGGGCAAATTTAAAGTAACAAAAGGAAATTAGACTGGGGTAATTGTTTTCTTTTTTTAATTATTTGGGGTCATTTGCTGTCAGGTGTTCTTTGTTCATAGGTTGTAAAGGCTATAGTTGAAAGGACCTTAGAGGACTTTTAATTCTGACTCTGCCATTTCGCTGCATGACCTTGGGCTTGACACAGGTCTGTTTTTCTAAATCTGTTTTTTGAAAAGAACAAAAGTAATGACAAAACTATTTTCTAACTCTTGGGCTTGTTGTAAAGATCAGTGTAGGTGAAAGCCATTTGTAAATTGTGAAATGCTATGCAAATATAAATGCCTTTTATAGTCACTAATTTGTGTTTGGTTTATGAACAAGTCAAATAAATATAAAGGAAAACATTGTGCAGATATATTTGCATGAAATATGTCTAAGAACTGGTTCAGGTATTTATCAGGCCAGCATCAGTGGGCAAAAGGTATGAACAGGCCGCACAAAAGGTAATATGCCTTGAAAACCAAGATGGAAAATGGTCACTCTTGTCACTCAGGAAGTAAAGTGTAAATAATTGGTTACCAGTTCACACCTATTATCTAAAAATTTATCAGTTCGCCGATAAGGCTTTGGGGAAATTGGTTCATCTATACAATGTTGGAAAGTATTCATTGGTACAATCCTCATAGAAGACAGTTTAATAATGCAGAGCATTGTTAAAATGCTCGTTTCCTGTGATTCCTGTACATTTATCTAGCTATTAGTAACAAGAAAAATATTGTGTATAAGGACGTTCATTGCACTGTTACTTGTGACATTAAAAATTGGGAACCATCTGTATGTCCTGTCATTTGGTAATGATTAAATAATAATATCAAAACTTAATGAACTAATATGAAGCCATTAAAAATAAAGATGAAGGGTAGTGACGAAGGCTAAATATGAAATGCTTATGAAGGAAAAGAAAATACAGGATTCTAAATTACATCTATGTAAACAGGCAGAAAGTTGCAAAAGACAATGAAAAAATGGCAATGGTTGTATTAAGGAAAGGGGGACTACAAATCAGTGTCCTTTTAAAAGTGTTTTAATATTACCATATGTTTAATAACAAGTAAAATTTGAGCGAAGATATTATAATGAGTAAACTTTCTCTAGGTTATCTTATCTCCGTGTACTTTATTCCCACAAATCTTGAAGCCAGTCTGATCAGCCATAACTCTTAGACCTGCTATTTCTCAGCAAACTAAGGGAAATATTTGTGTTTATAGGTAAGGTTCTAAAATTTTACTTAAAGTTTTGTGGCAGTTCTTAATAATAGTGATAAATGGAACATGAAAATTCTGTGTAATGGATGGGCACTGGGGTCACAGGGAATGATTTTTCTCTGGGCAGGTAAGATCGGAGAAGTCAGTTATTGTGGCTTCATTTTTACCATTTTACAGCCTGAAGTAGCTCACCTTGCGAGCTAAGGAGAGAGGAAAGAGAAAAGAAGCAAAAGATGAGGGAGAGGAAATTTACTGGGAATATTAAGGAGTAGATTTTATAAACAGGACATAATGTGGCTGGAAGCAATTAAATAGTCTGGAGCATTTTAGTTTGATTTGGAACAAATGTAAAGACCCAGCATGTATTAATTTTACTGGGTTGTTGCCTGAAGTATTAAACCAGATGATATCTGTATTTCTTCCAGCTTCATAAAATTCTTGGAGATAAGGTGAACAATACTGCTGTAATTGAAAAGCAAGTACTAGAACTTTGGGACAGACTGTATCATTCCTGGTTTGTAAAGGTAAGTAATTTTAGCTAAAGATTTCAATTGTAAACTAGTAATGTACTTTTATTATATAGGCCCAACAATTAGATTAGATTAACATTGGAATTTCTTTATTGAAATTTTTAAGATGCGAGGTCTTAAATCTTAAATTACTAAAAGTCAGCATGAGTTGATGGTTACTCCCCATGGCAGAACTCACTAGCCCTCTGGTGTGTCAATATTCCATCCTCTGTTCATTATCATCAACAGCATCTCATCGTCTGGACTGAGCTCTGTGCAGTCAAAATGTAATGCAAGCCACATAGGTAATGTTAATTTTTCTAGTGGCCACTTTAAAAAACTAAAAATAAATAGGTGAAATGAATTTTAAGAATTAATTACTTAACCCAGTAAGTAACCCAATCAATATATTATTTATACCGATAAAACATTTTTAATGAAATATGGGTGTGTGTGTGTGTGTGTGTATATATTCTTTATTTATTTATTTATTTTTCCATATTAAGTCTTGGAAATCTGGTTTGCATTTTATATACTAACAGCACATTTCAGTTCTTGAACTAGCCACATTTTAAGTGCGCAGGAACCACATGGGGCTAATGGCTACTGTTTTGGACAGTACAGCACTAGACATTGAGAGCTTTCTCTTTGAGGAAGTGGAAATAGATCCAAAAGTTTAGAGATCTTTATTTTAAATCAACCTTGTGTGCTACTTGTGCTTATGAATTCGTACGTCAGAGTTTATGCTGGAAAAATATTTTTTCACTAAATATAAAAATTACAGTTTTGAAAGCAACTGGTTGTGGGGGGCCATGGCACAGGGTTGGCAGGGCCTGTGAGCCATCTGGAGGTGTGTCACGGAAGATGCGTCTCCAGCGGGAAGGAGGTAGCGAGTGGGGCAGAGTTTGTGGTGATTTTTCCCAGGGTTGCTCTAAGGAGAGGAGTGCGTATGTAAACCTCTTCTCTTGGGGTAGGGAAGGAGGGCTTAATTTTAAATTTGAATTTGTTGCTTAGTGTCCTGTTTGGGATTGTGTCCTCTTGTCCTGGGAGGAGTTGAAGGAGAACAGTGTTGGTTTTTGTGGATTTCAAAGACTGGGAGTTAAAATGAATTGGGGAATCTCTAGGTAGATATCTGCTGAAGAGTAGATAGTAAGTTTGTATCTATTCCTTCTGCTAACTCGGGGGCTTCTGCTTCTAAACAGTTTTTTAGCATCTCTCACCCGCTTTGAGCTTCCTTTTATAGTCCAGGGAGGTCAGTGTTTTAAAAATACAGGTTTGTAAGTGATTATGTATGTTGCTTTCTTTACCTCTTTTACTAGGACCTAATGTCTTTATTGCGTAACGAGGATTGATATCACTATACTATTAACAAAAGTGGGAGAATGGAAACACATGCAAAACGTTAAGAACTTACCTCTACTTCTGAATTTTAACCTCAGGAGTCACTTTGTTTATTCATATCTCTTTCAAATCTAGTTATTCCTGCATTCCTGCAAATGTAATTCTCTTCCAGGTGGACAAGTTAGGTCTACTCACCCCCACCCCCGCCGTTTCCTTTTCATATTCTTTTTTTCCCCGTTTTACTGAGATATTGACATATAACATTGTATTAGTTTTAGGTGTACTTTTTCATATTCTTCTCTCCTCCCTGCTCTCTTTATCTTGTATGGAAGATTAATAAGGGAGATGAATAAAGGAGGAAAAAAGCAAAAATGGGAGACTAAAAAGATAGAGGTACGAAAAGAGGGGAAAGATGGAAGTAAATGCTGTGTTCGTATACAGTTGAATATACTGAGGAATCAAGTGTGTTCACAAATGTATTTAGGAGGGAAGCACTTGAGCTAGGCTGAGACATAGTAACTATTAATAGAATGTAAACAGAAAAATATCTTTCAGGTCTTTAGGTGGAGTTCTTAATTGATTTCTTAAGTGATGCAAAATTTTTCACTTCTGTGTACTTACTAAAGTGCTCAAGTGGACCTAAAACAAAATAGGCTATGTATACATTCTGTTCTTTAGGTTAAGATGGAGATTTCATGTCTGACCTGTTTTATTCCATAGAACGTAACGCATTCTGGGAGGCACAAAGGACACAAGCTGCACATAGGTCGTCAGAACGGCTGGCTGGGGGACATGCTGGACTGGCAGGACATTGCCTCCTTCGTTCACGAGAACATTGAGACGTTTCTCTCGGTAAGAAGTAGCATTTATAGTTCAACTGGACTTAGAAATAAAAATAGAAACGCTAATTCCCAGCTTTCTGCACACACTTAAAGGCCTTTGGTTCCCCTGTTTTTAATACCACGACATTTACACTTTTGAAAATTCTAAATGCACTTGAAAGAGGTCTAAAAATCAAAGAGCTCAGGTGCAGCTCCCCTAATGCCTCCTTTGTGGCTGAAGAGTAACCAAGAGATGCCGAATCAGGAAGCGTATGCACAAGGCCGTGGCTCTCAGATTGTGAGACAGTGTACTCGTCCCTTTCGGCTGAGCAGAAGGAATGTCCCCAGCTGGACCACTAGAGAAGGGAGCTGCCTTTCTGAGGGTGAAGCCCATTGGCAGGTGGAAATATGGTTTTCTTCCCTGTGCACTAGCCAACTTTGCCTGGTTTGTTGTTTTGTTTTTTTTTTTTTTGCAAAAGATGGAAGGCAGCAACAGCTTTCAGTGTTGCTAAGTTTTAACAACCACTTGTCATTCCATAGTGTACTTGGTAAGGTGTCTCAGCCTGTGGTGTTCCACAAAGACGAGAAGCATTTTCTTGGGAATAAACTTGTGACTTTCATCAAGTTGCCAAAAGTCGAGATTTGCAGTGCTAGACGTTTTTAATTTTTATCAAAATAATAGATGACCATAGCTGAAAAGTAAAAAATGCTCTAAGACTTTTAATTTAAAAAAAAGAAAAATAGCAGTGCCCAACTCTGTGCTTCTCCACTAAGTCTCAATCTCCAGAAACAGCTGTTAGTTCTTTTAGCTTTCTCTGGGTATTTACCTCTGAATTTCTAAAAAAAAAAAGTTTATGCTGCTCTTTTTTGGTTTTACAATTTTAGATATTACCTTTGGCTTTCTAATATAGAAGATGAAGATAAAGGTGTGACTTTTCTGCAAGTCCCTCCATGCCCTGTTACACTTCCTTTGGGGTTTTCTCGCAACTCCTCTAGTTAATACCCCCATGCTTGCACTCACACTTTTCCTTCCTTCGTCAAATAGAGCTATAACAGCTTGAAATGAAATCTGTGTCTTTCTGCCGGCATACTTGTAATACCCAACAGCTCTTTTTTATATTCTGAACCGCCCTTCCTAATCCTCTTGAGTACACAGAAAGGTTACTTGATGTTGACAACTACCAGTCTACAATTAATGTATTCAGTTAATTTCTTAAGAATCACCAGGGGGCATTTCCTATCAGTATGACCCAGAAACTATTTAAAACTTTTTTTTTGATAAAAATTCCAGAATGACTGAGGCTCCCAAAAGAATGCTTGTCAAAATCACAAGTAAGGTCATTGTTGGTTTGTTTCTTAGAATCAGTGGCATTATTCATTCATTCCTTGTCCCACAGGGTCAGATAGTCAATCATGCATATTTTTGTGGGCATTGTGAAACGTTTTCAAGATTTTATGTAAGGAGTTTTTGTAAATGAAACCAGCCTGCCCAAGTTCTCTTACGAAGACTGAGCTGAGGTTTGCAAGAAATGCCGAGGACAACAAAATATGCCTTTATAAATGGTACATTTGAGGTAGGAAAGGAATGGATAGGCCTTTCATAGCACAGATGGTATAACTTGAACATATGACAAGAAACAGAACTACGGTTTTGGAAAGGGCACCAAAATAAATTCAGACGCTCTGAGTTCTGGTCCCAGTTCTAGTTCTACATACTAGCTCCATGCCCTCGGGCAAGTTTCTAAAAACCCCTGAGCTTCAGTGTGCAGATCTATAAAATCAAGATGATACCTGCATTGCTTCCCTCACAGCGCTGTTGTGAGTTTTATGGGAGCGTTTTGAAAACGATAAGGGAAGGTGTTTTCCTGAACGTTTTGCTTCCTTGTTTTTCGTTAAGAGGAAGGATGCTTGAGAATAGAGCTGACATGATCATGAGAGTGTTTAAGTTTATGAAGAGAGAGGAAATGAAAGCATGTGGGTGTGCTGTAGGTATTGCACGTTTTTCTTTTAGTAATAATTAGCATATATTAATATCCTTCATTTTAATACCTGATTCTAGTGAATTTATAGGTGATGGGTCAACTGAAGTCAGTAGGTCTTGATAGAAAGGTCATCATCTATCTGAAGAACGACCTTCAGCTGCAGAGCTCTGCCCTTGACGTTCCTTGTCTGTTTATTTTACTGTGATTTTAGTGAAGATGCTTTTTTATTTGTAGATGAATCTAAGTTTGAGGTGGCAAGAGGGGAGGCAGCTAATAAGATAAATGCTAGATTTTCATGGCCTGCACTTGTGATCCTACAAGCATTGCGGCTTATTCTCCTGTAGGTATTTTTCAATGCATATCAGTTATATAGTAATAACCATGCTATATATAAAGTTTTTGTATCCTGCTGTTTAAACTTAGCACTATATCATAAATTACTCCCCTGTGTTATAAGAGATATTTTTAATGGCTGCCTAATATTATTTAGAGCAGCTTTACCATAATTTACTTAAGCATTTTCTTAACAACGTTCAAATGTTATCAGATTTTTTTTTTCCATTTAAAATAATACTCAGTTCTTGTCTTTTCAGTTTATGGTACTAAAACAGTATATTACAAGCACACGAGATACCTGTAGAAACTTCTTTCCCAAGGATTAGTTCTGACATTCAGTGTTCCCTCCTCTCAGATCTTAGAGTCTCTGTGGATTGTTATGAGCCGGAACGTGAGCCTGCTTTTTACCACTGTCACTACGCTCCTGACCATCCTCTTCTACAGCGGGACAGCCCTCCTCAACTTCGTACTGTCTCTGGTATGTACATACAGACAGCAACATATCAACGTTTCCTTCCCCAGTAAAGCAGATTCTTGGTTCCATGTGTGTTTCCTTCCTGTAGTTTCCAAATGTGATTTTTTAGGAGCTACTGTCCTTTGTTTTGCAGATAATTTTCCTGACCACACTATTTTATCTATTAAGTTCCAGTGATGAGTACTACAAGCCAGTGAAGTGGGTGATAAGCCTGACACCACTATCTCAGCCAGGTCCTTCCTCTAATATTATTGGCCAATCTGTGGAAGAAGCTATCAGGTAGGGATAAGACTTACGCTATTTTTATTGCCCTCAAAACCTCTTTCCTTGAGGAGCACATTTTCTGTCTTGAGCCTTCCTAGTTATATTCAGTGCTAAACTTGTGATGGAACTGGCATTTTTGAAAATCGTTATCTCCTTTTGAGAGTTTAGCCTCAAAAAAATAAGAGCAGAGGGTGAAAAGGGTAACTATTGTATTGTTCTGTACACCTGAAACTAACAATAAAAAAAATAAATTAACAAAAAAAAAAGAGCAGTGCAAATGTTGGTAAGAAAAAAGATATGAACGGTGCAAATGTTAAGAAAACAATTCAAAAGTTTCCATGTCTTACTCTCAAGCCTGCGGTTTACAAAGATTTCATGTCCTGCCCCTATCAGCTTTCTGCCCACAGGCTCCTGCTCTGCCTGTTCATCATCATGTCGCTTGCTCAGGAAACCTGCTTCTTATACCACATGCACACCTCCTCTTCTCTCGGAACGCTCCTTCTCTTCTCAGGAATTCTGTCTCTGCTTAGGGAGGGGAGTCGGTGGCCTTCCTGTCTCTTCTTGTCTCCCTCTGCAGCCAGGCCATCCCCTCGGCAGGGGATAGGTTGGATACTGGCAATGCAGCGTTTCTGGTTATCTTCAAGTCGTACGCGTAAGCTCTGTGTGCATTACAGGTTCTGGCCAGAAACTTGCCTCATGTCTTCTGGGACCCATGGATTGCAGGCTTTGTTTCTAAATGAGAGGTTTCTTTAACATGTATTCTTCATACACGCTTTCCAGATCACTGGCTCCTGTCCCCCTTTTCTTTTTCCTCTTTGGCATTTCAAGTGGGGAGAAGCTTTCTGATGCCCGAGCCTTGTGCCTCATTGCTCTGAACTCATTATTAACACCTCACTACATTTTTACTGTGGATGAGCAGCTAGCTACACAAATGAAATCTCACGTTGTCCATTGGGGCTTCTTTTTCTAACAAGTTGTTAGCCACGTGGTTGGTAAGCGTCTCTTGAATAGTGAGTCTTTGGCTGGCATTTCTCTTTCCATATATTTATAAAAAATACCACTGCTTGGAACCGGTCTTCTGCAAAAATCTTGATTTGACCTAATAATCCTGTCTGACTGAGCTTGGCTTAATTTTTCACTATATTCATGTAATAGCTGGTGGGATACCCCTGTGATCTTTGGAAAACCCTCTGTTACAATCAAATAGGATGAATGCTCCTAAAATATATTCTCTCTGGAAACTTTGGTAGGTTTTTTTTTCCCTTTTTCCTACTAGTAAGGCCTGGGTAAAGCCTTATGAGTATCTTGCTTTCTTGATTGGGCATCGAGTGGGATTGAAAAAAAAGGCTCATATCCTCTATGGTACTCTCGGTATCCATGTGGGGCCATCCATGTAAAGAGTCATTCCAAGTTTGGGAGTGTATTATCCAATGTAGCAGTTGCAGTGTGAAGCTCTTCTTCAGGAAGAGCTTACTGGCTTTGGCATCTCTGCTAAGCCTATATGACTGTTGGTTATCATCTTATTGAGCAAGTGCAATGGTGAAAACTCCAGGAATAGATTAACGTTAGTTTATATAAATTGACATTTATCTGACTCAAAAAGTTATGCAGATGCTCTATGAAAAAGGAAAAGTAAACTTCCCCCTTCCTAATAGAATAAAGCCATTTAATCAACCATTTCAAAGCCTGGCAGAATCCTCTAGTTGTTGTGGCTTAAGCCAAACTTGACAGGAAAATATTTACCTTGTCCATAAAGAACTTCAAGAAAGATAACTTGATTTTCCTAAAGCAGATATATCTTTATTAGTCCTGACACTTATTCTCACACAAGCTTTTATCTTCAAATCACAGTTCTTGAATTTTCTCTTGTTCTGCTTTCTTAGAGTGAGCCGCTTGCTAACCATCCTCAGAATGTCTGTCATTGAGTCGCCTTTTTTTTTTTTCATGACATATTTGGTATTAAAACTTAGTTCTCCTTTGTTCTAAGCTTAATTCTTTAATGTCATGATTGGTAAGCAGAGCTGCGATTTGCACCTAGGCCCGGCTGATTGAAAGCACAAACCCTTCCGGTATACCATGATACCTTCTCCCAGGAGGAGCTGGTGGGGGAAAAGGGCATGAGTTAAATGTGTGGTTCTGTTATGCTATGCATATGGACACATGAAGCTGATGGCTAAGAATTCAGATCTTGGCAAAGGAGGGAATTGGAGATTAGGAAGAGTGTGGTCATCTACAGAGATAGAAGGAAATATATGTCTTTCCACTAATTAGATTTGCCATCTTCTTGGGTTTGCACACACTAATTATGCACTCTAACAGTAGCCCATGTCCAAAGGATACTGGGACGAAACCCATTCATTTTATCATCTTATTTTTAATACAAAGAAAATTTTTAACCATCTTCAGTACCAGAACTATAATCCAATGGTTCTTAAAACTACTAGAATTTTGTGAGTCTGAAAAATATGGTGCAGACTAGAGAACTTGTTATAGCCTGGTTCATTTTTCTAACCACAGCCATATCAAGTTACATAAATTAAAGGTTGTAATTCAGGATGATTCAGCAGTCTAAGTGCTTGTGGTGTATTTATTTACTGGGTCAAATTCAAGACTTAAATAAAAATGTACAGGTTTTACATAGATGCCTCTGAAGAACATTCTTGTATATATAGGAGAGCAGTAGGTTCTGGTTCTAAGCGCTGTTTTCAAACTTTTCATTCTGAAAGATTGTGTTCAAGGTGGAATATATTTCTTCATGGAGAAGGATTTTACGAGGAAAAATGTTATACAAATGATTATGACAATATTTATTATAATGTCCTGAGAGTGTAGTTTAGTTTGCAAATTATAAGCATCAATTTTATAAGCATCAATCATTAGTCATCATCAATGTTGCAGGTAAGCTGGTCTTTAAGCCGATATAGTCCATTAATAAGTTAAAAGTTGAATTGAAATTGGGAGTTAAGTGCATGACCAGCCAGTAAAAATGTCTTTATTCCTCAAGCGTTGTCTTTTGACATATGTGGCTACTTTATAATCTGTCTCATTGAATTTTTGAACCTCAGTTTTTATTCACAATTCTGAATACGTATTCTGAATGGAATACATTTGTGACTTGTGTTTTCATTTCATGAATTTTTGAGTTCGTGGCATGCATCCCTTATCCCCAAACCATTTTCCTCCCCTAGAGCATGTCGTATCCCGAATGTCTGCATCACGCCCTTCTTTCCTGATGCTCCCATTCTGCTTGCTCTGGTGGGGATATTGCACATTACTAAGTTGCATGTTGTCACGGCCTCAGTGCAATTTAGTGTGTGTGATATTTTCACATGAGTGCATGCACACGGGTATGGCTCTTGCTTGTGGGATCACAGCTTATCAGTACCGATGCCGGGGGTTGGGGGCAGGGAGTCCTGATGAATTAGATGGGAGAACGTATGTACTGTGAGATTTTCATTTGGAAAGTGAATGTGCTTCCCACCTCTACCCACAAGTTTTGGAGAATTAAAAGTATTTGGGTTAAAAAAAAAATCAGCATCGATCATTTAATCAATATTTCTATTTTTAACTTTGAGCAAATTAAGTATTTTTGGAAAGAAATTCTCATGGACTTAAGGTTATAAACATTATTTGTGTAAAATATGTAAGAAGGAGTTTAAAGCTGTTAGAAAATGTGTTTTCATTTATTTGAAGAGCTATCTCTCCTAATACTGGAATAGAAAGACAATCTCTTATGCGTAATTAT